TGTGTGTGTGTGTGTGTGTGTGTGTGTGTGTGTGTGTGTGTGTGTGTGCAAGAGGCCAGAGGAAGGCATTGGATCCTCTAGAACTGGAGTTATAGGTGGTTGTGTTCTACTCAACTCAGACTGTCAGAGCCAAGCCTGGGTTTCTAGAAGCCAGCAAGTACTCTTATGTCCTTACTTGTCATCTCTCCAGCCTCTGTTAGCTGGCTAGTTTTATGTCAACTTGACACAAACTAAAGAGTCCTTGGAGAGGAGGCAACCTCAGTTAAGAAAATGCCTCCGTAAGACTGAGCTGTGTGCAGACCTGTAGGGCATTTTCTTAATTAGTGATTAATATGGTAGAGCCCAGCCTATCGTGGGTGGTGCCATCCCTGGGATGATTGTCCTGGGTTCTATACCAAAGAAGGCTGAGCAAGACAAGAAGAACAAGCCTGTAAGCAGCATTCCTCTTTGGCCTCTGCATCACTTCAGGCCTTCAGATCCCTGTCCTGCTTGAGTTCCTGTCCTGACTTCCTTTGATAATGAACCATAATGTAGAAGCACAAAATAAACCATTTCCTCTCCAATTTGCTTTTTCATCATGGTATTTTATTGTAGCAATAGAAACCCTGAGCAAGACCTTCTAAATAGACACTCTGATATTTTATTTGTTTTTCTCTTCCTATTTAGGACTGATCTTTGTCCTTACCACAGCATTTGTGCCTGCTCTTGTCTGTATTTAAAATAGTTTGAACCTTATTCAAGGAGAAGATAACTTGTGAAATATATATTGTTGGTATAATATTCTTGTGGAATGTACCCTTGTTCATTCAAATGCTGATTTCTCTACCCAACTACCTGGTTTCAATCCAGACATTGCATTGTGATGTTTATTCTAAGCATCATCTGTCTCAAGTTTGTGTAAACATGCCACCATTTGTTCTCTGTATTGTCAATAAAATAACCAGCCAGTGCTGTGCAATGGAGAGAATAGGGTGGGATATGCTGGTCCAGAGGGGAGGAGAAGGAAGAGAGTGGGAGTGGAAGGAGGAGAGCAGAGATCAGTAGAGGACTTGGAACCAAGAGGAGAGATGAACCGGACCTAAGATATGACCAAAAGCAAGTATAATGGGTGAAATCTGAATGGTAGGAAACTATGCAGGCTTGGAGGTTTAGGATGGAGTAACTATTGCCCAGCATTGTGCTCTAGGTTAATTAAATAAATTCTAGTGTCTGTGTGGTGATTTAGGAGTAACTGGTTTAGGAATAACCACTGATTAACTAAAAGGTAAATCTATAATAAATATTAATCACCCACAAGAATGTATGAAGCAGAAAGGGCTGATCTGGGGCCTAGAGAGATGGGCTCAGTGGTTAAGAGCTCTGTTGCTCTTGCAAGAGGTCTAAAAATTGGTTCCCAACACCTTTTAGGTTGATTTGTTATTGCAGTGAATCTTACTCATATGCTTTAGTTTTTCCCATTAATATTGACCAAATTCTTAATATCAGATGAAAAAATTGGAAGACACTTGTGATGGCTGGGAGGATACTCAGAAAATTGCTTGCTGCACAAGCATGAGAGCCCTAGATGTACCCTCCAAACTTGTTATACCAGTGTGGTGGTTTGAATAAGAACGGCCCCCATAAGTTCATAGATTTGAGTACAGGTCACCAGGAAGTGGCACTATTTGAAAGGATTAGGAGGTGTGGCCTTGTTGGAGGAAGTATGTTGCTGCGGTGGGCTTTGAGGTTTCAAAAAGCTTATTCCAAGTTCT